CCATTATAGATAAGTTGCTCCCAGATAGTTTGAGGATGTGGAGTAAAGTTTTTAGTTGCATCAGAAAAACAATTTTCAAGGGAATAATAGACTATTGACAGTCTTGACCTGTGTCAGTATGTCAACTTTACATGTGTGCTCATCAGAACGTGGTTACTCTTTAGCAAAGGAAGAAAGAAAAGTGGTAACTAAGTAAAGAAAGATATTTAAGTCTGAAGATGCAGGTTTGAGAGTGAGTACCATCACTTACTAATAGTTGTATGATTCTGGTTTAGGCTTGTTATTTCAGTTTTATTTTCCTTATATGGGTGACCAGGACTATTCCAATGATACTTACCTCAAAGGGTGTAGTGATCCAAATGAACCAACGTATGAAGAATGAATTTATAAAACACTATGTAATTAGTAGGTAGTATAGCTGCTATAAATTAGCATGGTGCCACTGGAAGTTTCAATTGTACCTTAAAGCATTAGAAATGCAAGTTGTTTCTCCTCCTTTTTCAGTTTATCAGTTGTTTGAAATGCATCATGCCCTGACATATCTCACCCTGAACACTATGAAATGACAATGATTTCGGATGAAAGGGCCAAAACATATAAGGGGGTGTATATGTGCTGGGCCATGCAAATAGCAGGAGGTGTTATTAACAAGATCCTTAAAGTACCACAATTGGACAGGTTTGAGAGAACTCACTCCAATATATTATGTTGAAAATACATTTTTTGTCTACTGACACAGTCAACATTCCATACAGTCAAATAATTATAGTGGTTTGAGAGAATAATACAATCTCTAATCAGAAGTTATTGAAATTTTGAAATTCTTATACTTTGGAGGCATGGAGTAATAAATAATGTTTAAGATTAAAAGTTATATGAGAAGATGTTGAGAGAGGATCTTGCTCATGTCACCAATGTCTCTGAAATCACTCTCACACTGTTAAGTGGGCTTGTCATAAGTCACTAGTCAGTTGATTATTTACTGTTTTCCCCCCCACTGCTATAGTAGTAACATCCGATGATATTCTTTATAACCAAGGGCTTGCCAGGATACATTTCATAAACTGCAATGGGAGAAGAAAGAAAAAAGTATATAAAAATATTAATGTTATTTGGATGCAACCTACAAAATATTTTATAATTTTTTATATTCTCGGAGAAACCAACCAACCAGAGTTAATTAAGCATAGTCTGCACAGATGAGTAAATCTGTACACATCAATGGGCATATGCAGTGGATGGTAGAAACATATGGAACATATCATAACCCAAACACCAAAGAGTTCTGAGGAATGATTAATGAGATGCATAAATATGGACAAAATAAGCCCATTTTTATATCTTCAGATTATTAAACCTGGAATAAATCTTCTTCTCTGCCATTGGTTTATAACAAATTTCTGACACAAAAGAGAACATTTGTTTCATATTTTATTGAATTTCATTTATATTAAATTAAAAATATATTTCTGACAGATTCATGTAACAAAAAGGCAGAACAGTTTTCAAATTGTTCAGCTGGGATGATCAGTATGGAATGAGGCAAAGCAGTTCGCATTCTATAATTGCCTTGTACAGGTACAATTCTTTCCCAAGAGCCAAAAGAGGATCCTTGAGAACTAACTGAAAGGCCTAATTACATAAGTTTAAAATACTGTTTCTCCCTCATTCTCAAATAACAACAGGAATAAGGGAAAGGAAGGAGAATGGGTAGAAGATTGGTGAAGAAAAAAGAATAAGAGAAAGTATACTAAAAATATACCTAACATTAAAAAAGTTAGTATGTGTTAGGTGCATAATCCTTCATCAACAACATAGAAAAAAATCAAAATAACATTACACCACACACAATTGGCATATCCTATTGTGTAAGCGAGTGCAGAGGTTGAACACATCACAATAGTGCTGAACACAGAATCACAAGTAATGTCAAAATGATAGCTTCCAACCAAAAAAGAAACAGTCACAAGCCAATTACTTATATACAAATCAACCCTAAAGACAATTATGTTCCAAATAAAGATGTCCACAAAAGAAAATCAAAGCAACATTATACTTATTTACAAATGCAACTAGCCATGTCTTTAACAAGCTATAAAAATACTATTCACATTTTCAAACATACAGTAGTATTTTTTTGTTTGTTTCAAAAAGGCAGCTAACTTTGGATGCATGGATTTAAATTAAACATTGATGGCTTACCAGCAAGGTATTTTTGCACCCCAGTCCTTTGAAGATACTTCACAAGAGAGAGGGCTTGCTTTCTGCTTACAAGTTAAGAAAATAAGGAAATGAATACAAATGTGTATACCTTAAGCCTCTGCCTTTTCAGTAAAGTGAGTCCCTCTCTCACCCAAACTGATGTCAATAAATTACTTTGATGCATGTATGAGATGAGTGTTTGAGAGTAGATTTAAGATGACTTTTCCTGTGCTATGAATTGTCTTGCACGTTGATCTCATTTTCATTTGATCTTGTTGTAATGGTGCTCAAGAAAGAGATGAACTAGTCATACCATGTGAAAATGCAGTTTCAACATGCAGCCACGCAATTCCTGGTGCCCTCAACATGAGAAATAGACACAACAGCCAGGGATACATGCATTCAAAGTTAGCTGCCCTCACACAGCTGCTCCGTTTAATAATCGACCCATTTAACAGCAGTACCAGTTTATGCTACATATTTCAAAGTACCTTACTTTAAAAGAACAGCTTACATATCTACATTTAGAAAATAACTTTCATAGTTGATAACTGGAGTAATCCCAAAAAGGTTCTTGGAGTGCTATGGTTGTAGTCCCCTCACTCCCCCCTCCCAGCCCCTGAGAGATCCAGAAATATACAGGAGAATGACTCTCACATTAAGGGAAAAGGACAACCCCCCCATTAACTGAAAAATATGGAAATCACACTTGAAAACCAGGTTCATGTCAATATCTAGGAGGTATGATTTTGCTTTTCTTCACAAAGGCTATAGGCCTGGGGGAAACATCTATATATTAGGGATAAAAATAGCACTAAAGGCAAAGTGGTTTGGACAAGTTAGACTATTGCCTACAGGTATGAATCTTTGTTTTCCTATATTTGTGTATTTGCACAAATATAACCACTTCTCATGATAGAGGGAAAGCTCACTAGAGCATGAAAAGAAAAATGTAAAGAACAAAAGTAGATAAAGGATAACATTCTGTTAGACAACATAGATTTTCATTAACATGAACTGCGTTCATTATGTGTTTGTTAGACGGATGAATGAGCCAAAAAAGAATTGCAGGTGGTTCTCAAAGCTGAATAGCCTTTACCTTTATGATAATAAAATTCCTCATGGGGGGGGGAAACAGCAGCTACAAAATGTTTGCGATCAAGAATAAAATAAGATGAATAAAGTAAATAAGTTAATTTGCTGGCAAAAATAACTTATATGTACAGCTTTTATGTAAAGATTAAATCAAAGTTCTACCAAGGGTATGTGCACGTATGTGAGTTTCAAGATTCCTCATAGGACTATCTTATCTTAAATTCCTATAGGGAAGGACACAGAATCAATCGATCATGGGAAACCATAATTTTAATAGCTTAAATATTCTCTATGCAGTAGTTTGAAAATTCATTTAAACAGTGTCCAAATTGCTAGAATCCCTTATGAAAAAATCGGGTATTCGAGGGCAAAGATGAAGTCAGTGTTTCACAACGCGGAGTGTGGCAGCTCAGAGATCCACTATGACTTAAGAAAGGGACAGGACAGCATCAGGTGGCCTATGTTGAATCAGGATAGTAGAAAGGGAAGAGAACAGTGCCAGTTGTGTCAATGGGCTAAAAAGGGAAAGATTCTATTTTCCTCTCAAGGTCAGAGAGAAATACATTTTTCTGTGATGCCTAACGAGATAATCACTTACTTGCAAAGCTGACTGTCAAGAGTATTTTCCAGAAGAAGCATGTGAATACCCCCATGAAATTGGGGCTTAGAGTCATTTTAGCTCGTGACTACAGAAGCATTTTCTTCTGCCCAAAATACCACCTCGCCAGGAATTAGATGAGGCAGGAGCCTGCAAAAGTGACAGATCCTACATTTTTGGACCTCTACAAAATCAGTGAGACTTGAACCAAATATCTGAAATTTCTATTACTTTAGACTTTTAATGAAAAGACAAAAGCAGCTCACACTGCTAAAAAAAAAATATTTGCCCATATAAACACAACAGGCCCTGGCCGGACAGCTTCTTGTTTCCAACTGCAGAGAGAACTCTTCTTGCAAAGGCATCTCTGGGATCAGAAAAACTATTAATTCTACCCAGAAGTATAAAAGCTGGCCTCATTGTAGTATCAGTAGTATTAAGCGGGTCTCCACTGATAATGATCTTTTACAATTACACTTGATCTACATCTGTATATTTGTTTTAAACAAATGGCAACCAGGGGATACCAATCTGCATTTATATGTTTAGATAGGGCAGGGCTGTCCTTCAAACTGATATACACCAAAGTTCTTGTACACAGAGAGGCACAGCAGGATCCTCTGCCCACAGTATGTACAGTAGAAGTTCATTTATCTGGCTTTTTAAACAACTAAAAGCTGATACACCTGGATTTCTCATTTGCCCTATAACAATCATCATTCTAATAACTAAAGTCCAAAAGAATGGCAATGCAGTAGTTTGAAATGCTTGGTTCAGCATTTATTTGTCAGAAAAGTTGTGATTCTTTGTTGTCATTTTTGGAGGCAAGAGAAAGGAAAGGACATATCACAAATTAAATGTATTTTGCTTGTTTGCTAAATGACATCATTCATCTTCTTTTGTCTCTGAATAAGGTAATAGAACATTTACATTTTCTTTACTTCATCTTGAAGACCCCTTACTTAGCCATATGTAACATGTTTGCCTGTTAAATTCTGCAAGGCGGTGTTTATTTAAAAAAATAATTTTTTTTACATTTAAAAAGTGACAAAGGAATAACAGTGAGAAAAAATTGTTCATTGTAATGCTTTAAAGCAATTTTTTAACAAGTGGAACCATATATGCCTACCTTCAGCTACACCCAACAAACAACAATTTTAAATGGCAAACTTATTTTTTCACTAGGCAAAATCCATTCTACATTTTTATGTCCTACATTTAACTTTGTTATACTTGCGGTTAGTTTTCTAGTTTATTTAATAATAATAAAATCATTTAACATCTGATAACCTAACTAAATCTACATCTTATAGCATTATCATGGTTCTGTCCAGTTATATACATGCTTTCATGATCACCTTTTCTATTACCTTATGAACTACATATACTAAATTATTAACAATTACAAATGGATGAATAACTCCAGTTTTGAAATAAATGTTAGATAGCTCTAGAAAAACTTGTATTTACATCCTTCCCTGTCAGGCTTAAACAATTTTAATTTCCTTTTCATGTCTGACACTTCAAGAAGCACATTAATAGTACTTCCAACTTCATCTAGCAGCAGAGCCTCATAGTTCTTTTCTCTCGATTTTTCCTTAGCATTGTAAATATGCACAATCTTCATGGCATGTCTTTCCTTTAGAAGGTATTAGTTTACATACTATAACACTTAGAAGAACACTATTTCTTCTCTTAAATTAGATATTCAGCCCTTCTTCCTAATCTACAAAAAAAAATCACTTGATTTTAGTTTGTGCGTTTTAATAGAAATTTGAGTTTTGCATTGTTTTTCATGCTATTTTAAGAACGTTATCGGAGGAAGGATTCTCATCCTAAGCTGTGCTACTAATACTATGCAGAAAACCAGGAGCTGCTTGGTAGTCTAACACCTTTTGTGGTGCAGATGATTCATGATTCTGGATCTACCCTAGTTCAGAGGCCGTCTTTTCTCACCTGTTTAGGTACCACTTTCTTTCGGCAATCATTTAGCTGCAAAGTTTTGCCTTTCCTGAAAATAAGATTGCCCAAAATAGGTATACTCTACAAAGTTGGGTGATATAAAAAATATAGTCATTGTAATTTTAATACTAATTTTCCTCAAATTTATATAATTGATTCTGCATATTTCAATTGCTACAACTGGCCTCTGGAATCTGATATCCCCCAAAGCACTTTGAAGACTTTAAGTGGCATTTTAAAATTTTACCCTACTGGGCTAAATAGGTTTTTCTCTGAAATGAATGAAACTTTTTTCCTCCCTCTTCCACACTCTGAAATATGTTTTTCCAGGGGGACAAAAATAAAACAAAAAACTCTCAAACAACTGAAGTCAATAACATACTGCAGAAATCATTCAAAAGGAATATAAAATGGTGCTATTGCAGAACTTGGGTCATTTTGGATTATGCCTGCATCCATCTCTAGGTATTACCTGACATGTAGAAGTCTTGTGTTCTTAGGAGGAAAGAGACTACATTCACTAAATATATTTTTGTTACCTTAACAGTTAAAAGTTAACTATTTTCTTCCTTCTCCAAAGTAAGTTATTCTGCTTTTTATATCCCAGTAGAAGCCATATGCACATTGTAAGTCAGAAAAAAAAAATCAAGTTATAGTATCCAAAAAGGAGGCTATGATGACTTGCTGCAGATTTATTTAGAAAGGGAGGCTTATATTCAATTTTGTATAAGAACTGATATGAGATCCCTTTTCTTAGAGACTTCTCTGAATGGATAGGAGAGCTCTGAGCTATTAGGTTGTGGCTCCTGAATTACTCTTGTGTCTTTAACCCTGAAAATTTTGAGGATGAACTTCACTAGAAGGGATCTCACAAACCCCTCCCCTGCTCTACCATACTTTTTCAGCTTGCCTCAGTTTTTACAGCTTAGTAGAAAACCAATTTCAATGTCTCCAACATTCTTGGCCAAGGACCACCATCTGCTTTTGGTTTAATGGCAAAGTTAGAATCTATATAGGCTAATTAGCCAGTGATGTAACATTCTTCTAGGCCAGCTTATGTTTGAATAATAATATTGAAACTATCGTATTTGTCCACTTCAACAATTTGAAGGATGTTTAACTTATTTCCCAAATGAGTTCAAAGGAGATACTTTACTGAACAACTGATTATATGACAGCCATTCCCAAAAGAGACCATGCAATCTGATTCTTTGAACTCACAGAAAAATTAAAATGTCATTCTAATTATATCTCCTAGATGATACAATTTTGAAGTTGGGGATGATATTCCATTTATCTGGGTGTTTCCCACAAAACATGGTGCTTTCAGTAGATAGTTGGATAAATGAGTTTTGGATGGATGGATGGATGGATTTACTTGTTCAGAATAGGAAGAAACACAAATTTCTTTGGATTTTTTTTCTCTAAACTCTCTGCTTTAATAGCTATTTTTACTCTAATTAATTAATCTTACACTATTGACTCTAATTTGGTCCCGAGATTTTAACATTAGAAAAAAATATTTTTTAAAAATCTAAATGACTTGGGGTAGAATTTTCAGAAAAGGGGGATTTATATCTAAGTTTCCTAATTATTGATGTGAGGCCCCATTTACCTGGAGACTCATTCCTGTCATTTGTTCCCATCCTTCATCTCATCAGGTATTCTTTCAAAATGATACATAATAAATATGGTTTTAGTGCTAGGTGTAGTATATGAAGAAAATGAATTCTATAAAGTATCAAAAGATTCGTGTGTTGGATAATAAAATAATTGCATGAGAAGATTTTTCACATTTATTTACAACTTTTGACCCAAGGACCTATCCATAAGCGTTGAATGTTTGTGTTTTTCTTTTTATTATGCCAATTTATGTGCAAAGAGTTTCCTTCTTCTTCATATAGAGTTTCATACTAGAAATTCCATGGAATTCAAGCCAATCCTTACTTGCATTCCTTCTTATGAAGTATACGAACTGAACAAATTTCCTTGCGTAGCAAAGGCGATGCCATATGGGGATAATGTGCTGGCCTCTCATCATAGTCCCTGGATACCGCTGCAAGCTTCCTAATTTGCTTGGTTTGGCATTTCCACAGTCTTTATCTTAGCTCTTTTTTAAAAAATGTACTTAAATTAGTTAATTTGCTGGTTGCTTCCATATTGCTTGACTCAAAATCCAAAACGGAGTTCAGAAAAAGAACAAATAAAATTACAGCTTAAGTGCAAACTACATTTCTGAGTTTTTGCCAAGTAGACATACCCAATCCAGTGTGTTTCTTCCAGTTCAATAGATTCCCTCATTGGACCACCCCTGAAAGTATCAGTAGTTTTCTTGAACTACACAAAACTGTCTCTTAGATTCCGTTCTATACTTCAGACAATCAACTGCTTATCAAGTACTGTCATTTATGGAGAAAAAAATGTTGAAAAATATAAAGGATGAGGGTGAAGATAATTTGATAGCATGAAAAATGAAAGGTAAAATAAAAAAATATTAGCCTCCCTTTCTTATTTTAAAAATTGTATACTTAAAATAGTGGCCATTTTACCATATTAAAATATTTCTTGCTTAATTCTGTGAAGAAGCTTTGACGTAAACATCTTTGCAATTAGAAATTAAAGCCAAAAATAGGGGAGCAACTATATAAAAGAATTGGTCATAGCAAAACAAAATGGAAAAAAAAAGCCTTCAAAACATAATTACTAGTTATATCTTTGATGAAGATTTTTAAATTATAAGCTGGGTTGGCCATTCTTACTTGCTAGGACAGAAACTGTTGGAGAAATAAACTGGTTTCTCAATCTCTGACATTATCATATGTTATAGAAAATGTTATTTTTTTGTTCTAATGAAAACTTTATTATGATTTCCAGGGATGCTCAGTATGTACACATCAGTTCCCGCAGATAGGAACAGATAACATGGGTGTTTCAACCATCTGCTTTAAAAAAAAAAAAAAAAAAAAAGAAAAAAGAAGTGACAGCCAGTTTGACAGTAGGCGGTATTGCCTTACATTTTCTGGTCCTTCTCTAGCTGTTTCATTCTCCTGACCAACCCATGCAGAGAAATGAAGAAACACTGTGGCTCCTCCTATCTTTCTCTTTCAGTCTTTCCCTCTAATGTTCAAGATAGATAAGCACATAACTATCATTGCATCTCTATATCTTCCACTGGGAAGTGTCAAAACTACTGGCCTTGGAGTAGAAGGAAGACCACCAGAGAAAGAGAGGGGGGTGGGGAAACTGGAGCATGTGTGTGTCTCCACCTAAAAATAACAACTGAGCTTACACCACAGTATTCCGGTGTCTGTAAGGTGGAGGTGGCAGCACAGTGCCTGGCTTCAGGGAGAACTCAGAGAGGTATTCAGGATTCTCTGCCACAATAGGCCGGATCCGCCCATTCTGTTTATAAAAATATTTTGTGCTGTACTCCTGCAGGTAGTCTGGGTGCTGGAGGGTGCTCCGAGGTGGCAGGCTGTGGTTCCAGTAGTCAGGGTTGTCAAATGCTTTCTTGGCCTTCTCTGGCACAGACAGTACATTGTTCTTCAGGTACTCAGCTTTTCCCAAGGCGTTGGCAAAGGTGTTGAGGTACAGTGGCTCATTCACATACTCGTCCTCGGCCTTGGGTGGGCCATTGGATGCGTTGTGATATTCAGGATTATCCAATGCTGGAAGGTCTCCATTTTTTCTCCGAGAAACAAAAGGGTTCTCCTCCACTGGATTCAGGTATTCTAAAGGAATAAAAAAAATCGGCTAATCTCAACTTTCTGGAAAATATTAATCAGGCCAAAGTTATGCATAATTGTTAGCTTCTTTGTCTAGAACAACAACAACAAAAAAAAACAGACTTGTTTTCTGGATTACTCAAAACAATTATTTGTGGATTACTATTGCCATATGAAAAAAGTGGACCAAAAATGTTTATAGCAAAGCAAGAAGCCAATGAGACCAGAATCAGAATTTCTATCTCCAAAATTTTTCTTTCCGTCTAATTGCATCTGTCTCTTTTGCATATGGGGCCAGTTGTTTAAATGTTTTTGTTTTCTAAAATGTATTTATGTTAGGAATCAGACTACTTCTCAAAATTAAATAACCTTTAGATATTCAGACAACTTAATTTCTGTAAAGGATATTGAAAAACTAAAGAGTCTATAGCTTTTTTCCATGCCAAGATGAATAGATGGAGTGAAGAAATCACGTTTTTTAGTATCTAGTTTTGCTATGATCGTCTATACTGGTAACAAGGATTTGATTGGAGATGCTCCTGAAAAAGGTTTTACACATGGGAAAGAAAGCATCAAAGGAAAAAAAAAATCAACTAAAGAAGCAAACCTAACAGGTATCTAACATATTACATATGTAATATGACATTACATATACTTCTACTTAATAATAAAATATAATTATAATATTTCCATTGAACAGTCATAATCATAAAATAGCAAACTATTAGCTTAAATCATATAAAACAGCCATTTTGCACATTGAATCCAGTCAATTAGCCCCTTTTTTTATATGGATCAATCTATAAATCCATCTAGTACAGGTATTGGTCTAAAAGATGCTAATAATTATTGCTATTCCCCTGAAGTTTAATTCTACCTCAATGTCTCTAATATAGGCTGCAGATAGACATACACACACATATATTGTAGGTCCTCTATTAGTCCTCTCTTACTATATACACAAAACCCTAAGTTATTTCTATTTTGGATTCGAGGCATTCAGAAGGGACAATTCTTTGTTGAGAGGCCATTCTGAAACAAACTTTATATCTCTTAGTCTTATCCCAAAAAGCAGAGAGAAAAATCCTATTAGGCCAGGGTTATTTTTCTCCAAATATATGTATACTGAAGAGGTAAGTATTTAGCATCACTTATTAAAGTTAAAGGGCAACAACGAATATCCCACTATCATACATAGGCCTTTAAAATATACTATCATTTCATCTTAAAAATTATGTGAAAAAGAAAGTGAAAGGCTTATTTTTCCAGCTTTGTAGACAGAAAAATGAGATTAAATGATGTATGCAGGATACGATTAGTGTTGGGATAGAATTCGGGTCTTCTTATTCCTCTTGCATAATCTTCTTATTCTACTGCACTGTTTTTTATTATTGCTCCTGCAAGCGTTTGACAAATGTATAAAAGCACTTGTAAGGAATGCAAATTTGATCTTTTTTACCAGGTTCCTAAAACTTCTTAATTGAAAGTATAGAAATGTCTATACTAAAATTCTGTACTCTCTGAGCAGTAGGTTAGACTATAGCAAACTTTTTATAGAAATGGAGCTTAGTGTTCAGAGATAAAATCTGGGAATACTCTGTCTGGAAATACAGTGTGGCTAGACAGACTGACTTGCTTTTCTCTTAGCCTTATATTACCTTTACGCAATGCAATCTACTTATATATTATCCTGATGCAAACTTATATAGCTGTCCAATAACTTTACAGTTGAGGTGCAAATCTTCCCAGAAAAGATTCTTCTTTGGGGGGAATCTGCCAAATCTTCACAAAACCTACATTTGTGTCATTACTAGGCTACAATTAATATCCAAACTTTTCATCACATTTTTATATATATAAAAGTTTTATATACGTAAAAGTTTTATCTAGACAGATGTATTTTAATAGGTTATTTACAATTAGAGATCTCTACATTTTACTTTAAAGGAGAGAACATAACCATATAGAAAAGAGTGTAACAGGCTCTTCTCAGTCTTAAAATATAGTTCATTGTTGACATTAAAGACTGAGAGACATGATCATTACTCTTTAATATTCATCTATCTTCTCTGTTGTGATGCTGTTAGCACAGAAGAAAAAGGGCTTTTTTGCTGCAAAATTGAAGCATTATTTGAGTGCTTAATATTTCAACTACTAACTTTACAAAATTATTGTTGTACTTTGTAAAACCACAAACTATTATTTTCAAATCTTGATGGTATGCTTATAAGTATATATAGGGTCAAAACTTTAATTTTTGAAAAAGTCATATAAAAGCATCATAATTTCCTATAATAAACTAGGTTGGTTAAGTGACATCATTTAAATGAGTCAAAGAAATCTTTCATTAGTGCCATCAAAGCATCAGACACTTTTGCCAACAATACCAGTCTTTATGATCTCCCCAATTACGTCCAATAAAGCTATGGTCCTGACCTTTTGTGTTATGCTACTTCATTCAAATATTTCAACAAAATATGTTTAGAATAGTGCTTCTCATACTGATTGCTGTATACAGATAGTCTGGGGATCTTGTTAAAATCCAGATTCCTATTCAGATGAGACCTGCCTGAGATTCTGATTTATATAAATAATAATAATGTAGATGCTGCTGATCACAGACCATACTACAAGTAGCAGTAGCCTAGGCCTTTACTGGGTCACAAATGTTGCAATGTACAGCTGTCTGGCAATTTCCATTCTAATACTTTATCTTGATAGAAGTGAACTTTGAATAGCAATCATTTCCAAATATTTTGAATATTTGGAATATCTGAATATTCAAAATAAATCATCAGAAAATAATTTTGGAATACACATTTTAGTTATATTAACCAACTGAAACATAAACTAATAAAAAGCATTTAATGCCCTTCTCGCACAAGTGCCTAAATTTAATATAAAATTAAAGGTACGAACCTTGTTTGGCTTTGTCTCGCATAGGAGTCATGTAACCTTCCTCATCCAGCTCTCCTCGTGGGCTCCGTTCTGGGGCAAACACGGTGGGGTCAGCACTGTACCTCTGAGTGCTACTGTCCTCTTGGACATGGGGTGTCACTGGCTTGCGTAGGGTGCCATTACAGCAGGAGTCATCAAAAATCTCAGCTGTAGCACCCTGTGCAACAGGAGCTTCTGGAATTGTGCTAGTCGGCGCTCTGTAGGGCACAGACACTCCTTGTTCTGCAGCAAAACCTCCATCTCGGTATACAAACTGGTTCTGTTAATAAGAGAAACACATTTGGAGAGGTGATGTTAGAAATAGTTGAAAAATGAATGCTAATAACCAAAAGGATATCAAAGCTAGTCTTTCAGAGAATAGTCATAGCATTTACATAGCATTTATTGGTTTTTTTTTTTTTTTTTCTTCTAGTGGCTAATGAATTTGAGTCACAAACTAGAAACTCCTAAAATTTCTACTCCTCTTAAAAGATAAATCATCAGAAAATAATTTTGAAATGCCCATTTTAGTTTTATTAACCAACTGAAACATAATCTAATAAAAAGTATTTGATGCCCTTTTCCCACAAGTTCCTATGTTTAATAGAAAATTCAAAGTGAATTTTTATGATAAATGGCAGTTGATTAATTGTAGATAGTTGTCATTAAGAATAGAAGTACTTGGGTATATTTTGAATGAGCCTATGTCTTTATTGACTTCTAAAATTCTGTGGTTATTATGAATTTGATGCTTTAGCGCCTAAATAGTAGATCATCATTATAATTCTGACTTTTTAGTACATGACCTATAATCAGGGAAGTAACATCCACATCCAGAAGCATAATTTATATGCCAGGTTAAATCCTTCAGATAAAAATTGAAAGCTACTGTTGATGCCTGATATCTCAATTTTGGATTATCAACTGAGATAAAAACACAACTGAGATAAAAAGGCAGCTACACAATGTACAGCAAATTCTTAACTCACTGTTGGCAAAGGCAAAATGAGGAAATTATGCAGAGACAAGAGAGAGGAAACATGGTAAGCAAAGACCAAAATTCCTAAAAGATGAAGGTTGATTGTGAAATACTTACTCCTGACATGGGGGTGTAGGCAGGAGGAGGGCTGTGTCCAATTTCACTCTAATAGGAAAGAAAAATGGAATGATGGATATAATAGGCAATATGAATGAAAAAATTAAAAAAAGAAACGAAAAAGAAAATGAATCGTATGAACCGAAGGGGAAAAGTGCACAACAGTGAAGCTTCCTAAGCAGTAAAATTGTATGCATTCTGACTATCAGCAAGTTAACTTATAGGTTTTGAGGAAAATAAATATTTTAACTCAATCCCTGAAAAGGAAAGTTATACAGAAAAAGTAAAACTTTTCAATGGATTAAAAAAGTGAATAATAAACATTCTTCTGACTAACCCTAGAGTAAAGGAAAAAGTAGTAAATAAGCTATAGCTGTAAATGGAAAATGGTTCCCTTCTTTACATGTTAAAAGCCTGAACCAGCCATATACTCTGGTATTATTCTTTCTCTTATAAGAAATGTATTTGGAAGGAGATGGGAGGAGATTTCAATTTGCCTGGAATAATTTTTGCTATCAAGCTACATTTATTTTTCACCACTTCAGCAAAGGATAAACCCCTTAGCTTCTCCTTATGAAAGGTATATGCGATTTCATCTTCCGTGTTACATGTTTTGTTTTTTTTAAGAAACAGCAGAACATTTGGAAAATCAATTCCTTTCCTGGAAACATGCTTTAGAGTCCCCTTATACATTTATAATGAGTCAAAATCAGATTTCAGTTAAACAGCAAAAATACATCTATATTTCTATAGCTTAATGCTCCATCCTATGGGGCTAACTGAAAGAGAATATAAAAATATGATAAAATATGAAGGACAGTGTTCCTTAGGGTAAGGTAAAGGTGTTGTATGAGACTAATTCTATTTCTTAACAAAAAATACATTAAACAGATTTCTTGAGAACCTACTGTCTATGTGCGAGGCACTTTTCTAGGCACAGGGATAAAAAATAACACAGACCCAAACTGCTTGATTTTATGAAGCTTATATTCTCTACATTCCAGCTTTGAGTAAACAGAGATGACCAAAGCAAACCTGTAAGACACCTTACATCTTTTATATGAAACAGATAAATATTATTCCAGGTCAATGTTCATATAATTTAGATTTACAAAGCATTCTAAGAATACGGTTCCATGGAGATTAAGTGTTTAATGTAAATCAGTAACAACTGGATAGTATAATCTCCCTTAACTTAGTCTGCTGGACTAACCAAGGGACAAGTTCTGAATCCCTATAGTGAGTTTATATCCTAGTTTTCTCCATAACTATGGTGGCATTAATATACATATTTTCTTCTTTAGTAACATAACTAATAACACATCAAAAGATTATGGCATGGAAAGTCAGAGATATATGTAATATACAACACATAGGAGGTGCTCCTGTGCACCAGACAGACTGTTTAATGACCTGGGCTCCAGTTCTAATGATAAGTGGTATGAATTTGGTGAATCATGAAACATCTCAGACCTCCATTTTCACTGTTTGTCTCTCTATTTTATTCTTAATAAACATAAAGTAAGATAATGTATGTAAATGAACTTTGTAAACTCTGCACTATTATAAAAATGTGTAAATATATCACATTTAAATATTTATATCTGCTAAATTGAATTTTTAAAGCAATCAAGATGCCAAAACTACTCATCAAAGAGGCATTTTAAAATGCTTACCTGTACTCTAATCATTTTAAATACAGGCATATTTTATTATATTTTAGAAATACATGAAATCTATATTTTAGAAGTACATTTGTTCATAAAACTTGAGAAATTTATAGTCCAGTGATGTGCAAAATAGAGTGATAGTACAGGAAACATGAACTGCCTGGTGGAACTTCACCAAATTACAAATACTGGCCTTACCCTCATCATTAAACACCAATTATTTAGCAAGTATTTAACAAATATTTACTAAATCTCTGCAGTGAAAGCACAGGTGCTGTGGTAGATGCCAGAGATGCCACAATACACTAAGATAGACATGACCACTGTCCTTTTAGAATTTACAGTATCAAATATAATCTGCGATTGTTGAAAGTAAAGGCAAGAATGAAACAAGGCAATTTATTTCAATTCTATGATTATATATTAGAATGCAAGGTATTCCAAAATATTCATAATTACTAGTGCTCCTTTGACATTTGACCCTGCACAAGTTGCTGTACTGGGTAATGTTTAACTAGAATTACAGCTGAGAAATGAGTATTGATTGCACATTTTGCATTTTACAGAACTTGAGACATAATCAAAGAAACAACCTGCAAGTCATTCATCATCAGGGAACAGTTTATTATCTATATTCATTATCTGGGCTAGAATGCCTTCCATTGTAAAGGCAATGGATTAAAATAACTGGGCCTCTTGTGGTTAGTCTGTTTCAAGACACAAAGCAAGGCCATGCCCTATTAGAATGCATCCACTGTCCCAGCTTTGACAAGTCTTTCAGTCAGCAACCTGCCAACTCTAACTGGACAAACTGCCAAATCGCATCACAGTAATAGGAGCATCTTCATGAATTTTCCTGTTTTCAGCATTAAAATGAAAAAAATGCTAAGCAAAACCCCTTTAGCATTCATTGTTTTTAGGGTTACTGGCTGCTTTTTATGTTTCTGTTTCCATTTTTTCAGTTTGCTTTTTTATCTGTTTTCCATGATAAAAAGCACCTCATTCATTTCCCCGTGGAAGGGCAATGCAGCTCCAAGGGAACATCTGTGAGGCCAATTAGCTGGGCTGGAAATGTGATATAATTGTTGTTTAAATATATTTAAATTACATGTTAATCACGATGTCATAATTTATAAGCTTTGAAAATAACTTTTTGTACTTCAGAGCCAAGCCAGATTTTACTTGTTTTTGCTGTTTTTAGTTTGTAACAAGCTCTTCTCATTTCTCTCTCCCTCAATTTCCCACACTTGAAGAGCTGAACTTTTAATATTGGAAAGAATGACAGCTGCAAGTAAATTGGTTGAGTAAAAATTAAGATCCTCACAGCAGTCAAAATGAGCTGGAATGACCTTAAAGTTCTAAGCAGAACAAAGCAATGCTCTCAGTAAAATCTTTTGTTTTTTCATTGTGCTACTTTCTGCTGTCCATCAAAGTCCAGCTTTACAGATCTTTAGGAAGCAGCACTGGGTGCATCTGTTCAATTAGCTGGTGAGGCGATTTACTGTCAGCAAGGCAGAGATAGGAGGAGGTAGGTTATGAACTGGCAGGTGATACTGAGTTTGTTCCTGGTGGGGGTGGTTTGTAAGGGTGATGGATGGAATGAGTTTAATTCTGTGGCCATGTAACTAGGACATTGTATGATTAACTTGGACTTAAATGCCAGAGATTATAGAGAAGGCAAGTAACAGCAAACAAATCAAATACAGTATTAAATTCATTCTCAAATATACCATGTCCTAAAATTTACTTTTTAGTTGAATGATAAATATTAGAACCTTTGTCTCATATGTACAGTATTTCTTATATTTGTATTGTTTAATACTGTTCCTGTGAAATTTTAATTGTTAAATAGATGGACTGTATTTTGTGATATTTAAAAAATTATTATACAAATCTACTTTCAGAGGAAACAAAAATAACAGACCTAATGCCTAATTTCTATCTAATTTTTAATCTTTAAGTATTACTTTCAATATTAACTATAAGATTACAATTTCAAGGGTCAAGAAATACTCCAAATTCCTTTTTCTTAAAATAAAATGTCTCTAAGATGTTGCTAATCCATCAGCACTAATTTATTATCTAGACATTTCCACATAGTAACTGTTAAAGGTTCTCAACCTTTTATCTTCCCTGATATATCTGCTTAACACTCTGATGGAAATTTCCATACTTTCACAGGGCACATAGCAGCATACAGAAAATGTTTGTTGCATTATGTTATAATTATTGCATTATAAATTATAGTTCCCGATGCATGGTTGTAACTCTGCATCTTTCTCAACTGAGTTCAACGTACCAGTGTTTTGAGACATTCAGATTTAGAAACTTCATTTTTTCACAGGGCAATCGGAAGGAAACAAACAAAATGTGTCCATATGTATGAAAGCTGATAATGGCTGAGAGAAGCTTACTGAGAGTTCAGCAGCTGGCTGAATTTTATACATACTACACATAATGTCTTTTGTCTGTTTATGTATGCATATATTTACTCATTTTTCTATATGGTTTGATTTTGTGGGACTCTACTTTTTGAAGAAACTTTCTTATTCTGCATGCACACACATACACACACACACCAATAATGATCCTATGATCGAATTGAAGACATATTGATGTGGGCTCTCATTCTTTTATTATTTTAAGAGAGAGTCTTGCTCTGTCACTCAAGCTGGAGTGCATTGCTGCAATCTAGGCTCAGTGCAACCTCTGCCTCCCGGGTTCAAGGAATTCTCTGCCTCAGCCTCCCCAGTAGCTAGGATTACAGGCACCAGCCACCACACCCACCTAATTTTTGTATTTTTAGTAGAGACAGGGTTTTACCATCTTGGCCATGATGGTCTTGAACTCCTTACATTGGCCTCCCAAAGTTCTGGGATTACAGATGTGAGCCACCAGGCCCAGCCAGCTGTCATTCTTTATCCACTTATTGACCTTTCATCTTTCTTATATGCCTCATGTACTCAAATTAAAAATTTAACCAATGGGCTATAAGTAGTATCTGTAAATACGAACAAGAGTCAATACAGAATTTACAAAGCATATGAAAGTGGTGTATTTTATAAAAATACTTAAGTCTGTCTTCAAAGTGTATTTTCTTGTCCATTCTGTTTCACAGATGAATAGATGATGAGTCTTAGGGAAATCAAGAAACAGAGGAATATATGTATATGTATATGTATGTATTATATACACTATACCATGAACAATTTTAGGTGTTATTTATTCTTATAAACTTGCAAGGTAAATAGTGTTATTAAAAATTATAACTCCCATTTATAGACAAAAAATTGAGCAGAGAAAGGATATGCCATGTGCACGCATCCATAGTTGGCCACAAAGCCCATCACTCTATTATGCTACACATAGGTTTTCATT